GAATGGTCACCCTTCTTCGGGATGGGCTGAACCAAGGCAAGCTTCCAAGAAGAAGGAAAAGTTTGGGTTTTGAGGCAAAGGTGAAAGAGGCGAGCAAGCACTGGCGAGAGCTTCAGCACACTCCCTCGGAACACGAGGGGGTATTCCGTCCGGTCCATGCGCCTTACTCACATCCAACCTGGATAACACATTGTATGGGTAAAGGTTGATTGACATTTAAGATTTCAAACAAGAGAACCTAAGTATGGCTGAGGCACCTTTTTACTGTTCTACCCTCCATACCAGAACCTTCCTTATGAATTCATATTTTTTTTCAGATATCATACACAATTTTAACCTAGCACTCTTAGGAGTAAAAATAAATCAATAGCTACACTTTCACATATTAAACTATAATGTTAATCTTACTGAGACACCTGCATCTAATAGCATACAGGCACATATAATTTATGAAAGTAGACATAAAAAACATTTATTTTGATATATAACTCAATGTGTTCATAAAATTATATGAAGGAAGGGAGAATGGGGAGGTGAAATGAGAGCTTTCCTTCTGTCTGCTTCGGTAGGTGGCAAGGTTCCTCACATGACCCGTCACTTATATACTGTACTCCTACTCAATTTAGTAACCTAATGGCAAAGCACCGTACATTTAAATACTAAACTGAGAAAGAAACATACAGGTATATACTTACTTCCTTTTTATGTGTTCGTAGCTCCTCTTGAGCTGTCTGGCTGTGCGGTGAAGTTGGTCTGGGTTGCTGGCGTTGAATGAGGCAATAATTTCATCCCAGGCCTTTCTTTTCTTCTCATTTATTGTGTTGCTAGTAGACCTGTCCTCAATGACTGGCCTTTGCTCGATAAGGCACAAAAGTGCTATGAGCTGGGTTTCTGACAGCTCTGCAGAAAGCTCTCTCCCTGCCATGTTTGATAACACGCGCGCAAACTTTGGTGCCAAGTACACGGGTGAAAAAAGTATCTGTTATTTGTTTCCAACAGTTACTAAAGTACAATTTGATCAGAAAAAAATATTTTAAATATATTATTGTGCATGCATAAAATAACTAAATATATATCTATAACCCTCTTTCTAATTATTTGAAATGGTGCATATGGCATCCGCTCATGGCTGAAGTTTGTGGTCATCCGACACGAACTGTCGTATTTACACGCACTGAATTCCTAGTTACAGGCTCATGTAAACGACTAAGAGTATATTGCTCGGCTTCGTGTGGCTGCTTCCCGACACACGATACATCATGATCGTGATCTTCGTAATGACTAGGAGTCCAGCCCTTGGTCCTTCACCTCTAACATACGCTTCAGGGTCTCCTCATAATGGGTGCCAACAACCATTCTGTCTCGTATCCTGTTGTCCAGACACACAAAACAAAAATCACAAAAGGCGGCTATCTCCTTGATGCTGCACAGGAAATCCTCGAAGGACTCTACCGCCTCCAGAACGCGGGAATAAAAGTCTCTCCTGTCAACAATGACATTATGCTGGTGTCGTAAGTGGGCCTCCATGGTGTCGAGTGTTGTCTTGAGATACGCCCCATCAGCCACAGCAAGTCCATACCTCAGTGTTCTTGTCCAATCATCATCCAGCAACGCCACTAAAGTCGATCTGTGCTCGTCAGGAGGTAGATCTTGGTAAGCTTCACATATCCCTCAAACTTATGCCTCCAGGCATCAAGCTCCCTCAAGGAGGCGGAAGACGAGAGGTGTGGCACTGTGAGGTAACTTGACATGGGGGTGCGTCGCCTCTAACAGGCGGTGTAGCGCTCCCTCCCACATCAGCACTGCCGTCCACTTGCCTTGAGCTCGCCAGTCCTTCCAAGACTGTGGTTAGGCGTTCTTCTCTCCTGTGTGCTTCCTCCATTTGCCTCGTTATGAGCTCTGTCAACTGCTTCAACTGTTCCTCCATCGTGCTGTGTCGTGATGTTGTAGTAGGCCACAGACGGTAGTAGGTGAGGCAACTAGCAGCAGATCCTACTCACTGTGCCATGTTTGGTTTCTCTTCGCTCATGGTGGGGTAAGTAAACATGTACAGTAAAAGTCCAAAAATCCGGATGCCAGAAATCCGGACCACCCGAGAATCCGGATTTTTCGAAAACTATTTTTTTTTTTTTTTTTTTAGCTGGCTTTTATGTGTATGTGCGCATGCATGAGCGCCACAGCTGCACAGCGACAACAAGCAACCATGCGGTTGCCACTTTAAAACAAGCAATCAAACTGTGACAATGTATGTAATTTTGAATCTTACTCTTTCCATTTACAGAGTACTGTACAAGCCCATAATAATGGCTCCTAAAGTAGATAATCTTCGTTGTGTGAAGAGAAAGAAGAACACGTTGAAATTGGGTGACAAACTTGAAATAATTAAGAAACTAGAACATGGTGTGAGCAATACTTTTCTAATGGAAACATACGACATTGGAAAAGTCTACAATTTATGATATAAAAAAGGCAAAGATTTAAATTCTAGATTTCACAGATTTTTCTTTAAAACTGCTCGTTTTGATAAATGAAGCATGCTATATTTGCTAATGAATAAACTATCAAAATGTACCTGTTCATCTCTTCTTTATTCCTCCTTAAATTTGAATTTTAAAAGTACTGCCTGAGAATCCAGAAAATCCGGACCGACCCAATCCCCAAGCAGTCCGGATTTTTGGACTTCTACTGTACTTGAAGAATTGCTTTGTTGAGGAACTTGTACAGGTGACGGCAGGATTCAGAATGACTACTGTATATTATTTAACAAACAAGTCAACTACTACAATACATATAAGGAATGGAAACTGTCTCATTCACTATAATACAATGAAGCATGAGACTATCTCATTCGCACGCAGACCACAAGAGGGCAGCACTCGTACTGGAACAATGCTGATACACACACACACACACACACACACCTAGCTGACATCACACAGCATTAACACCCCATTCTTTAAATAGTAAGAGTCTGACTGGTCACTTTCACCCCCAACAACCTCAAACAAACCTATGAGCTCTGGTTCAGCTCACTGCACTTCTCACAATCCTTCTGAAGACCAACTCAGCCCAGCTGGGTCAACACTCTCGGGTTCGTTGTCCAGGATAAGACGGTTGAAGAACGTGTCAAGAAGATTCACCTCATCACAAACATTAAGGTTGTTACTAATAGATGTAACAGTCGCCACAGGCTCAACATTCCTAACAGACATGGCCCTAGTGACAGCACAGACAGGAAACAACTCCGCACCTTTTCCGCAGTTGCCTCTGCTCCTTGGGCCCTAGTGATAGCACAGACAGGAAACAACTCCTCCTCCGCCAGTTCCTCGTCTCCTTGGGCCCTAGTGACAGCACAGACAGGAAACAACTCCGGTACCTCCTCCGCCAGTTGCCTCGTCTCCTTGGGCCCTAGTGACAGCACAGACAGGAAACAACTCCGGTACCTCCTCCGCCAGTTGCCTCGCCTCCTTGGGCCCTAGTGACAGCACAGACAGGAAACAACTCCGGCACCTCCTCCGCCAGTTGCCTCGTCTCCTTGGCAATCACAAGCTTATCAGACAACAATGGTATGGGACTCGCCTTCCCACCAGCAATGTCATTACCAAGAATGAAATCCACACCAGACGCTGGCAACCTATCCACAATTCCCACATGAGCATAGCTGAAAAAGAGATCGGACTCCAGGTAAATCTGTGCCAGGAAATCCGAATACAGCCCCCACAAATTGTTTACCAAAACTTCCTTGTCAGTGTCCTCCACAGCTACCACATCCTTTAACATGAGAGATTGTAGGGCACTAGAATCCCGCAAAATAGTCTCCGTCTTCCTCTCATCACAGCTAGAAACTTAACCTTGGGACAAAAAGGCTTTATTGTTTCCCAGGAAAAGGATCCTCCCCACATCACCAGCACCACTGTCCTCTGAACAACTCTCCTTGTTCGTCTGGCTAGGCAAGACAAGACGGCTACAGGTGAAACATCCTCAGGTGAGCCCCCAAAGTGGAAACAAAAGCTACCGTTTTGGACTTATCTCCAGCGTCACCCTCGCCACTGCTGTGCAAAGAACCTCCCTTATTAGCCTGCTTAGGCCAAGGCAAAACAGTTACAGGTGACACATCATCGAGTGCCCATCCAGTATTGGAAATAAAGAGTTATAGGTTTTACTTTATTCGTGTCTCTCAACCTCTTCCAACACTCCTTCACCAAGTGTCCTACCTTCCCACAGTGCTCGCATGACTTTGGATTAAACCTCGACTTATCATCCAAGTTATTAGACTTTACTTTAAACTGGGAGGTAGGATACTCAGACAAAGTGACAGGTTTCGGGACAAAATTTTGGGCAACTCCCTTCTTTTTACAATATGTCTCATCCTTCACAGGAGAACTTTTGTGAATAAGGGCATACTCCTCAGCAATGATTGTGGCTTTATCTACATTATCAACATCTTTCTCGAGGAGATAACCCGAAATTTCCTTAGGAACACTCCTACATCCCTTAAGTAAAATTAATTTTTTTAATTTATTAGTCAGACTTGCTTCGACTCTAACCATCTTGTGAGCAAATCTCTTTTCTCTCTAATAAACTCAACACAAGACTGGTCAGGTTGCTTATGAACACTTCTAAACTCAAGTCTATATGGCTCGGGTACTAACGTATGCTTTCAACAAAGTACTCTTCACAAGATCATAATCGGCACACTGGGAAACAGACGAGGCAGCATATACTGTACACTCTGAGCCTTGACCTTCAAAACACTTTGCAGCAAGACAGTCCAATGTTTCTTCGGCCATGAGGGGGCTTACTGCTACCTTCTCAAACGTATGGAAATTTTTTTTACATCTTGTTCATAAAATGAAGGTACTGTACTAATCTCACCTGCTTCGAGACATCAAACTCGGGTTTTAAACACTGGTTGAGAATGTGACTGTCAACTTTGCCTCCTGGGTTAACCTAACTTGCTCCAGCTTAGTAGCTTCTATTTGTGCATTAATCCTTGTCTGCTCTACCGGGTAATTGAATTCTAGCCAACTCTAGTTGTAAATGTATATTGGTGGGAGGAGGATTCACACCTGGTACATTAAGTAATGAATTCACCAACACAGCATCACTGACCGGAGGTGGAACCAAGCCCGTAGTTACGGGTGAAACATTGGTCACATCTACCAAGTTGCCTAACTCGTGACCTTCAGTAACTTCCTGGTACTTAAAAATTCCACTATCTCCAACTCCACACAATTCTGAAGTAACAAACTCCAGCAATGCCTGCTCAGAACTAGTGTCAGTGTGATCTATTTGCAAGTATAATTGGCAACAAGCGTAAACTTCTTGAACTATGAGTGATGCTACTCCCTCAACTGCAGGTGTGGACTCGCAAAAGCCCTTAACATCCTCATCACTAATCAAAGGCACAGTGCACAGATTATGTTACACAATTACAGAGCAGAGATCCTAGCAAGGTCGCCAATTTGTTACGCCTACGTTACCCCAGCGAGCCAACATCCATCAAAAGAGAGTGAAAGCCTATCGCTCATTGGTCCAAATGCTTGAACAAAGTAACGAGCAGAGAGATATTCGGAATTCTCTACTTGACTTTGGCTTCTGCACGAAAGGCCACACAGGCGGTTCCGAAGCCGGCCGACATCCGATGCCCACGAACACGACAGGCGATAACCGCTCGTTCGTAACGGTACCCACGATTTGTTTAATGTTATACAACCACTAAAATATTTGGTGATGCAGATTATTTTTTACAGGTGAAAGAACATCTTACCTTAGAAGAGCTGACCGAGTTGATACAGCCAACAGTTGACTACCTTTGCAACCTACAGTTTCCGTCGGGTAACATGCCATCTTCAACAAGTAACCCATCAGATAAATTGGTGCACTGGTGTCATGGGGCTCCTGGTTCACTCTTTCTCTTCGCAAAAGCTTATCAGGTACAATAATAGAGTACTTACCTGTTTTACTTACCTGTTTTGTCAATACTTTTCAACCAAAACATCATTTTATGTTTCACAATCCTATAACATCATTTTTTTTTATTATTCTTGTTTTTAGTCTTTTGTTGTGTTATCAGTACGGTATATTTACTGTCCCTTTTTTTTTAATCTTCTTTATCTTTCCTTGTTAACTTTATGGTTGTGTAATAACATTTTTGGGAAGGTCACACAGAGGTGTAAGGTAGTGAGGAAATTTTTAAATCATAGTCATGTTTTATATTTGATAACCTTAGTTTAGGGTATATTAACACTTGTTTAGCATGGACATTGATGAACTATGACTGTGAAGTTAAGGTAATCAAATGGTCAGTAATGTCATAAGTGTTTATCTTCCCATAATCTTACTTCTCATATATTTCAAGAATATCAACTGCCCTTTTTCTCTTTTTACCAACACATTGTTTTTAATTTCAACATGTCATATAACTATGTCTCCCTTACTCAACTCTCCTTAACATTCAATCTACCTTTTTGTTTTTACTTTCCATTTCATTATTCACATTACAGTGATATCTCTGTTAGCTGGAACAATTGGTGCAGAGCATTTCTGGGAATGAGAGATTTCTGGATAACGAAACAACTCTCTCTAAGCCGGAAAAAATATCTCATCCCGGAATTTTCTGGATTTCTCCAGGTACCAAGAAAATTTTCTCGCAAGTTTCAGAAATTGCGCATTGTATCGTTTCTTGAACCAGGAAATAAATAGCCCATCCTCAGAATTTTCCAGATGATGCATTATTTCATCTCTCAAAGCCATAAAAAAAATCCCCCATCCCTAGAATTTTCCAGGTACCGGGAAAATTTTCTCAGAATTTTACAGAAAATGTGTCCCTTAGAAAATCATTCCCAAAGCCGGAATTGTTCAGAAAATTCTGGCTTTGGGAACGATTTTCTGAGAAAATTTAAATTATGGCTATCGGAGAGTTCCGGTTAAGAAGGATTCCAACTAACGGAGATACTGTATTACTGCATTCATCGTATCTTCTTAGTACGTCGCTTTAGTAAGCTACTGTACAGTAGACTCGCAACTTATGCGGTTTCAACAAATACTCGGATTACCCTGGGGGTTAGATTACAATTAACAATTTCAAACTCAAAATTTTCAACATTTTTGTCTAGTGCAAATTGTAGCATGCTTATATTCAAATTAATTACTGTCTTATATGAATCCCAGCAATGTAAATTATATTCTCCTAGGTCACTTCTGTGACATTTTATAAGAGAAAAATAAAACCCACTCTAAAGGATTGATAAATAAATAAATAAATAAATACTTCACTAAACCTTCTGGCACCAGCTGTCAAACACATCAACCCCCCCCCCCTCTTCCCAGCCAGGGTTTGGTAGTTTTAGGCTTAAAGTTTTTATCTTATATATTATCAGACTAAAGTTAGGAGAATATAAATTGCATTGCTGGAATCCTTGCAAGACAGCAAATAATTTGAATAAAGACCTCATATATTTTGCACAAGAGATAAAAACTAATCACCTGTATCACATTACAGTCGTGATTTATGAGTTCTCGTGTATATGTACGTATATATATAGTGATTTAGGGGTGTTTCTGACTTAAGCGTTTTTTGGCTTTACACAAAGTCCCAGGAACGTAACCCTCACATAAGTTGCGAGTCTAGTGTATATTATTTCTTACATTTAAACCTGTACTTGAGTGTTCTTATTTTAATGCACTATACTAGTTTAGATAAGAATCACTCCCTAAGGGTAGAGAAGACTTGAGCATGTGCAGCAGATGACACTTGAGGATGTAGGAGTGAGAAGAGAGTTCTTGTGGAGGAGTTAGTGGAGATGTGTTGGGACAGTATCTTTAGGGATGACTTTACAAAGGCAGTATCACAGAGGATGATTTCACAATAATAATATCATTTGGGAGGATGATTTTTGTAATAACTATTTCTGGAGGACAGCTCATTATAAACCAATGTACTAACAATAAACGTGATATTGAATGGATACATACTCAGTAGTGTAGATAAAATATATAGATAGTTAATCCAAATTGAACTGAATTAATAGTAGAATATATAGTTAATCCTAATTGAACTGAATTAATAGTGTGTATATATATATATATATATATATATATATATATATAGTGTATATATAAAGATACTGAAAATATAACTTTCTATAGTATTGTTTATCAGTGACATATCTTTCCCTCTAAAGATTTTTGGTGATACAAGTTACCTTGAATATGCCAAAAAATGTGGTGAGTGTATCTGGGAGCGTGGGCTGTTGAAGAAAGGCTATGGTTTATGTCATGGCTCTGCAGGAAATGGATATGCCATGCTTTACCTATATCAGGTATGACAACTTTCACATTTTTAGGTACAGTAGGATCTCAAGTTTAGCGAGTTTTAGATTAGTGATTCATATGTTTCTCTTCACTTAAAATTTTTAGCCTCAAGAATGGCGATTTTCATTACCGATTTTGCAAGTCGATGAAGAGTGGGCAGCGCGCATTGTCGCGGTCCTTTGTTATCCGCCGTGTTTTTTGTTTATGGCAGTTAGTTTGAATGAGCAAGAGCGGGCGGTGCAGTGACCTTAGATTATATAACCCATTGTGCTTATGTTTCGTGAGATTCTTGTGTATTAGTGATTATTGTGTATTAATGATTCTTGTGTCTTAACGATGAGTGAAGTGCATAATGTAAATGTAGGGAGTGGTTCAGGTAGTAAGAGAAGGTCAACAAGGAAAGACCCAAACCAAGTGTGACTACCGTAAGGGGGTCAAGAAGAGGAAATACACCCTTGAAATGAAACGAGAGATGATCAAAAGTGGTGCTCGTACCTGTGAAATCATGCGTAGGTTCAAGTGTCCCGAATCGACCGTATGTTCCCTTAAGAAGAACAAGGAAGCCTTAACTGCTTCTGTAAGTGTATTCTCAAGATTTTCTAGTTACAAGATGTTCTCTGATACTTCACAACAAAACCTACTTTTAGTTATCACAGAACAAGTGTGTGGAAAGAAGAAACCGTGAGCCGGGCGACCTGTCTGGGCCACAGATAAGGCATCAGCCACGTGTTTATTATGCTGCAGTTGCACAGAAGAAACGTGTTGACTCTCCACCACCGTTCAATGCCACTGTTGGTTGGTTGGCTGCCTTTAAGAAGCGTTATGAAGTCAAGTTTGTCTACTACCATGGGGAGAGTGCATCGGGTGATGTTGTAGCAGCAGAATTTCCATCTGTCTTTCAAGGTCTTGTGAAAGAAAGAGGGTGGTTATTGCCGAGACCAGATCTTCAATTGTGACGAAACTGGCATTTTTTGGAAGCGCTCTCCTATGACCACTTTCATTGCCAAGGATGAAAAAACAGGCAAGGGATGTAAAGACTTCAAAAGACAGGATTACAGTTTTATTCACAGCTAATGCAAGTGGAGATTTCTTGATGGAACCCCTGGTTGTTAACCGTGCTGCCCGTCCTAGTGCCTACCTTTATGCCAATATGTTGCAGCTCAATGTTTATTGGACGTCTAATAAGAAAGTTTGGGTTACAACGTCTTTATGCACCGATTGGTTTGACAAGCAGTTTGTTCCTGACGCCCAACAGTACTGCCGGAGGAAGAACATTGACTTCAAAGTGATCCTGGTGATGGATAATGCTCCTGGACTGATCCTGGTGATGGATAATGCTCCTGGACACACTTAAGTTTCTAATTGGACGTCACCCTAATGTACAGGTTATCTTCCTTCATCCTAACACCACATTGCTTCTGCAGCCACTTGACAATGAATTCATCAGTAATGTTAAACTGTTCTACTATCAGTCACTATAAAGACTTTTGTCAGCAGACAGACTCATTGGTTGAGTTACAACAAATCGAGGCAGAACTTTCTGACAGTGACCAGGCTCTACCAGTTAACGAGGAGGAGATGGTGGACGACCTGACTCCTAGCACCTCACCACCCCACAACCGTGAAGTGTTATCAGTTTGTGAATTTTGTGAGAAATATAATATTAAAATTGCAGTGGACAGAATTGTTGAGGCATGTCGTAGTATTAATGTTGCAACAGTGCTACATGCATGGAAGCCTCTGTTCGCTAACTCCGAGATAAGTGGGGCAGAACAGACCAAGGCAAGCGGGGAGAGGCAGTCCGTGGCGGCAGAGCAGTCAGTCCCTGCACTGGGATTTTCAGATGTTCAGGTCAAAGATTTGCAAGAAATCGTTGGTCAACATCAGCAGCAACCGACAAGTGAAGATATTTTGGAGGAGGATGAAGAACAAGATCATCATCAAACAACACAAGAGGATGACATTAAGCCTGGTGAACCTACAACACGCCAGCTGACTGAGTTGCTCACAACCATCACACGTCTGTGAACAGCTAGAAGAATACAATATCAGGCCTCATCCTTGGAACCTAATGTGCCCTGCCCTTGATAAGGTTATAGAGGAATATAAGGCCACGTACATGTCCTGTGTTAATGCTCGTCAGCAGGCCCTTATTACTGGGTACCTGTGCAAGGCCCAGCCTGTTAATGCCTTGACAAACATCGCTTTAGGAGATGATGATGGCACCACCGATGATGATATTGAAGTGTTGGGTGACTTACTGGTGGAAGAGCTGCCTCAAGACTCTGTGGGATTTGATGCTGAAGTTAGAGGAGGGAGTAGAGAGGAAGCAGTAACCAGCCCTCCCTGCCTCAGAACCCATCAACCAGCCCTGTCAAACATTCACTGACTCCATCAAGGTAAGTTATTCTACAGGATGAGTGTATATAAATATTGTAAACAACAATATGTACAATATAATATGTATGAATACATTACTGTAATGTAATGTTCTTGGTGGGTTGTAGGTCATTATAGGGGGATTTGGTGACACCGCGGAACTGATTAGGCTTATTTAATTGTATTTCAATGTCACTTGTTTCGCAATTTTAAATTTTGCGACGCTAAAACTGGTACCAATTAGTCGTGAAACTTGAGATCCTACTGTATAATGATTAATGTGTTAAGGTATGCTAGTCTACAGAAAAGGTTAATATTTGATAAAACATTGTATTATTGGGAAAAAATTCAAATACTGGATGTAAAAAAGATTAAATTTTTCTGGCTAATTGAAAGTAGAATAAATGTTAGAAAATGCATACAGTATATTAATTTAAATCTTAACCATTGTACATGATGGTGATACATAAAGAATAACAATTGAATAATAATTTTTTTCCCAAAAGTGGAATATTAAAAAGTATTTATTTTTCTGTAGGTGACGGGGGATGCTGTTTACCTGTACAGGCTGTGCACAGTTTGGTAACTGGTGTCAGGACTATGGCACACATGGATGTCTCTTCCAGACAGACCTCTGTCTCTGTTTAGGATTAGCTGGCAACATTCACTTCTTGGTTGACCTTATCAACCCAGATGAAGCCAAATTCCCAGCATTTGTGCTGTAGTCAAGTAAAACTAAGATGTCTGCAAAAATTATCTCTACAGTATTTTAGTGGAAGAGGATTTAAATTTGTTATTGATTTATTTTTATTTTTTAACGTGGATCCTTATTAACCATATCTGGATATAATATTCATGTAACTTTGCTTGATCCTCTTCACCAATGGTCAGCTCTAGCTGGTGAAGCAGATGCCCGCTTTCTTATTACACTGTTGGCAAGTACTGGGCATATACTGGTTTAGAATGTACCTGAACATGCACCAGTGTTGGTCAAGTCAGGTCTTAAATGAGCTCTCTCAATTTTCTGTACTTAGCTTCTTGAACTTAAGGCTGTGTTAATAATTGTATTCATTGTTTGAATATTGTCACATTTTATTCCATTCTTATTTAGCTCCATGTATTGTGGAATGCAAATGTAAGATGTTATCATATTTATATTTTTGTTGTAAATGGACACTGCAATTATTTCAGATTATACTGTATACAGTACCTATGAGCACTAGTTATAGCAAAAAAAATAATTACTTTATCATATGAAAGCTTTGTTGTTGTATGTAAAAGCATAATTGATTGCTTCACTTTCATTTAGAAATACTGTATAAAAAAAGGTTGGTACATAGAAAAGTTTATATACAGTACTGTACAGAGTAACTACAGGGGGTCTTCGGATTACGAACAAGTTCCATGCCTGAGGACGTTCTTAAGTCAGAACACGTACCTTATGTGCATTATATCATAGCCTACGTCCTTTTATACATCTTGACTCACTTAATTTAAAAAGAAAGGAAAAATTGAATGACAAAATGAAGTAATGAAAAGTAAAAATTAAAGTTTAACACTTACATTGAAACCTGGGGCTGGCTTGCATGTAGAGATGGGCATTTGTAGGAGTGACAGAGGCTTTATTGGGAGAAGTTGAACTGAAGCTGGTGATGATGATGTAGATGTTAACAGGACTGGTTCTGTAGATGCTGCAGTGGTTGGTGGGACTGGTTCTGTAGATGCTGCAGTGGTTGATGGACCGGGTTCTGCAGATGCCGCGGCGGTTGATGACCGGTCTGCAGACGCCGCAGTGGCCGATGGACCGGCCTTGCAGATGCCAGTGGCTGATGGGACCAGTCTCTGTAGATGCTGCAGTGGTTGAAGGGGACCAGCTCTTGTGATGCTGCAGTGGTTGAGGACCGGTTCTGGATGCTGCGGTTGATGACCGGGTTCTGTAGACACCGTGCGGTTGACGGGACTGGCTCTGTAGATGCTGCAGTGGCGATGGACTGCTCCCCAGATGCTGCAGGTTGATGGGACTGGTTCTTGCAGGATGCTGCGGTGGTTGATGGACTGGCTCCTGCAGATGCCGCAGTGGTTGCGGACCGGCTCCAGATGCCGCAGTGGTTGGTGGACCGGTTCTGTAGATGCCGTGGCGATGGACCGGCTCTGGGATGCTGCAGTGGTTGATGGGACCGGTTTGGTAGAGCGCAGCAAGCGATGGGACCGGTCGCGGAAGATGCCGGGTGGCTGATGACCGTCTGGTAGATGCTGCAGTGGCTGATGGACCGGTTCTGTAGATGCCAGCAGAGTGCTGGATGGTACCGGTTTGCAGATGCAGAGCGATGACCGGCTCAGATGATGGCAGTGGCGATGGGACCGGTTCTTGCAGATGCTGCAGTGGTTGATGGGACCGGCCTGTAGACGCGTGGTTGATGGGACCGGTTCTTGCAGAGCGCAGGCAGTTAGAGGACCGGTTCTGGTAGATGCTGCGGTTGATTGACCGGTTCTGTGATGCCGCAGTGGCGATGACCGGACCGTAGATGCAGTGGCTGATGGGACCTCGGTTCTGGAGATGCTGCAGTGGTTGATGGACCGTCTGCAGATGCTGCAGGTTGATGGGACGGCCTGTAGACGCGCAGTGCTGGGATGGGGACTGGTTCTGCAGATGCTGCAGTGGCGAAGATGGACTGGTTCAGATGCGCGTGTGGTTGATGGACCGGTTCAGATGCTGCAGTTGATGGGACCGCCCTGTAGATGCTGCAGTGGTTGATGGGACTGGTTCGGTAGATGCTGCAAGGTTGATGGGACCGGTTCAGATGCCGCAGGCTGATGACCGGTTCAGATGTGCCGCAGAGTGTTGATGGTACTGGTTCTGTAGATGCAGAGGTTGATGGGACTCGGTTCTTCAGATGCTGCAGTGGTTGATGTGACCGGTTCCAGATGCTGGCGGTTGATGGACCGGTTTTGTAGATGCTGCAGTGGTTGATGGGACTGGTTCTAGGACGCGCAGATGCTGAACGGGGACTGGCTCTGCAGATGCTGCAGTGGTTGATGGACTGACCAGCGCAGAGGTTGATGTGACCGGTCTGCAGATGCCGCAGTGGTTGATGGACCGGTTCTGGTAGATGCTGCAGTGGTTGAGCGGACTGCTCTGCAGATGCTGCAGAGGTTGATGGGACTGGCTCTGTAGATGCAGAGTGCCGATGGGACCGGCTCTAAGATGCTGCAGAGGCCGATGACTGGTCTGTAGATACTGCAGTGGTTGATGGGACTGGTTCTGTAGATGCCGCAGAGGTTGATGGGATTGCCCCAGATGCCAGAAATATGGGACTGTTCAGATGCTGCAGGAATGATGGGACCGTCTTGTAGATGCTGGTGGCGAGGACCGGCCTGGGAAGGCAGTGGTTGAGTGGGACCGGTTCTTAGGATGATGCAGGTTGATGGACCGGTTCTGTAGATGCGCAGTGGTTGATGGGACTGGTTCTAGTAGACGATGAAATAAGCGAGGACCGTCTGCAGATGCTGGCGGTTGATGGGATCATTCGTGATGCTGCAGAGTGTTGATGACCGGCTCTTGTAGAGCTGCAGAGCGATGGACGGGCTCTGTAGATACCGTGGCGATGGGACTGGTTCCCCAGCAGGATGCCGCAGTGGCTGATGGACTGGTTCTGCAGATGCCGCAGTGGTTGATGGGACCCGGTTCAGATGCCGCAGGTTGATGGACTGGCTCTGTAGATGCTGCAGAAGTTGATGGACCGGTCGTAGATGCTGCAGCGGTTGATGGACCGGTTCTGTAGATGCCGCAGTGGCCGATGGACCGTTCTGCAGATACTGCAGGCTGATGGGACCGGTTCTGTAGATGACGGCGGTTGATGGACTGGTTCTGTAGATGCTGTAGTGGTTGGTGGGACTGGTTCCCAGATGATGCAGTGGTTGATGGGACTACCCCAGATGCTGCAGTGGCGATGGGACCGGTTTCCAGATGCTGCAGTGGCTGATGGGACCGGTTCTGTGATGATGCAGTGGTTGATGGGACTTTGGTTCTGTAGATGCTGGTGGTTGGTGGACTGGCTCTGTAGATGACAGTGGTTGATGGACCGGTTCTGGTAGATACCGCAGTGGTTGATGGACCGTCTGCAGACGCAGCGGCTGATGGGGACCGTTCTGCAGGCCAGTGCAGTGGCTGGTGGACCGGCTTGTAGATGCTGCAGTGGTTGATGGACCGGCTCTGTAGATGCTGCAGTGGTTGATGGGACCGGTTCCTGTAGATGCTGCAGGTTGATGGGACTGGTTCGTAGATGCTGTGGTTGGTGGGACCGGCTTTCCCAGATGCTGCAGTGGTTGATGGGACCGGTTCTGTAGATGCTGCGGCGGACTGCCCTGTAGATGCTGCAGTGGTTGGTGGATCAGGGTTCTGGGTAGATGCTGCAGGTTGATGGACTGGGGTTCTGTAGATGCTGCAGTGGTTGTGGTGGACTGGTTCTTGTAGATGCCGCAGTGTTGATGGACTGGCCTGCAGATGCTGCAGGGTTAGATGGGACTGTCGCTGTAGATGCTGCAGTGGTTAGATGGGGACTGGCTCTGTAGATACCGGCGGTTGATGGGACCGGTCTCTGTAGATGAGCAGGTTGATGGACTGGTTCTGCAGATGCAGCAAGGATGGACCGGTTTGCAGATGCTGCAGGTGATGGGACTGGCTCTGTAGATGCTGCAGTGGTTGACGGGACCGGTTCTGTAGATGATGCAGTGGTGATAATTGAATTCTGTAGGATGCCGCAGTGGTTGTGGGACTGGTTCTGTAGATGATGCAGTGGCAGGGACTGGCCTTGCAGATACCGCGGTTGGTGGACCGGTCTTGCAGACGATGCAGTGGCTGATGACTGGCCCCAGGATACCTGCAGAGGCTGATGGGGACGGTTCTGTAGATGCTGCAGTGGTTGAGGACCGGTTCTGCAGATGACGGCAGTGGTTGATGGGACCGGCTCTGTAGATGCTGCAGTGGTTGATGGGACTGGTTCTGTAGATGCTGTGTGCGGTTGGTGGACCTGGTCTGCAGATGCCGCAGTGGTTGATGGACCGGAATGCAGATGCTGTAGTGGTTGATGGTGACCGGGCTCTGTAGATTATGCAGGCGATGGGACTGCCCAGATGATGGTGGTTGATGGACCGGTTCTGTAGATGCGCAGTGGCTGGATGGGACTGTTCTGTAGATGCTGCAGGAAGGTGGTGACCGTCTCTGCAGATGCTGCAGTGGTTGATGGGACCGGCTCTGTAGATGATGGCGGTTGATGGGACTGTTCCAGATGATGCAGTGGTTGATGGACCGCTCTTGCAGATGCTGCAGAAGCATGGACCGGTCGTAGATGCTGCAGTGGTTGATGGACCGGGTTCTTGCAGATACCGCAGTGTTGAGGGACCGGGTTCTGCAGATGATGCAGCGGTTGATGGACCGGTCTCTGTAGACGATGCAGTGGCCGATGGACCGCTCTGCAGATGCTGCAGTAGTTGATGGACCGGCCTTGTAGAGATGCTGCAGTGGTTGATGGGACCGGTTCTGTAGATGCTGCAGCGGTTGATGGGACCGGTTCTGCAGATACCGCAGTGGTTGATGGACTGTGGTCTTGTAGATGATGCAGTGGTTGATGACCGGTTCTGGTAGATGCTGCAGTGGAGCAGGGGACCGGCCCAGATGATGCAGTGGTTGATGGGACTGGTTTCCAGATGCTGCAGTGGTTGATGGGATTGGTTCTAGGTGATGATGCAGTGCTGATGGACCGGGTTCTCTTAGATGATGCAGCATGAGGACTGGTCTCTGGTAGAGCGCAGTGGTTGATGGACCGGTTCTGTAGATGATGCAGTGGTTGATGGACCGGGCCCCCAGGATGCCGCAGTGGTTGGTGGACTGGTTCCAGATGATGCAGTGGCTGGTGGAATGGCCTCTGCAGATACCGCAGTGGTTGGTGGGACCGGTTCTGGTAAGATGATGCAGTGGTTGGTGGACCTCTGTAGATACCGCTGCAGTGGTTGGTGGACCGGTTCTGTAGATGATGCAGTGGTTGATGACCGGTTCTGTAGATACCGCAGAGGTTGATGGGAATTGCCCCAGATGGTGCGGTTGGTGGGACCGGCCTCTGGGGATACCGGCAGTGGTTGGTGGACTGGTTCTGTAGCGATGCAGTGCTGATGGACTGCCCTGTAGATACCGCAGAGGCGATGGACCGGCTCTGTAGATGCTGCGAGTGGTTGGTGGGACCGCCCCTGTAGATGCTGCAGGTTGATGGACCGGTTCTGTAGATGATGCAGTACATAACTGGCTCCTGTAGATGCCGCAGTGGTTGGTGGACTGGTTCTGTAGATGCCGCAGTGGTTGATGGGACCGGCTCCTCGTAGATGCTGCAGCGGTTGATGACCGGTTCTGGTAGAGCGACGCAGTGGTTGATGGGACCGGTTCTGCAGATGCTGCAGTGGTTGATGACTGGTTCTGTAGATGCGGCGGTTGATGGACCGTCTTGCAGATGAT